TAAATGTTTCTTACAACAGGTCAATCCAGTACTAGGCCGAAAACACAAGCTGCATCTCGTGTTGTTCAACCACCTTCCACGGACTGCACTAGATCTAAAACCCAACTACCGTTGGCACGAAAAGCTACTAAGAAACCGGCTGTGAGGAAAGCACTGCCTGTGTCAGCGGTTACTGTACAAGGCCCGGTTGCTGGACTTACAGGGCCTAAACTGATCCTCTACAGTAATTCTCTGGAAGTTACCAACGCAGCAAAACCAGCACCGAGAAAGGGAAACACAAAAAAAAAGTAAATTTAATTCATATACAGATTTGTTATTTATATTTCCCTACTAGACACATAAGAAACTCATCCAATACAATTTATTATAACTCCCTCTACGACATCAGACAGTAGGATAGAACTCAAACGCAACTGGTATCTTCAAATACTATTATCCCATTCCTCCTCGATCCATCACGTACACTGTTACCTTGATCCATGTGACGAAGATAACGATGATATTTAGAACCGTTGATGGGATAAATGATGACGAGAGAGTCTGGAACCCTTTTATGGGTGAAAACAAATATCGTTGCTCTCTCGCTTTCGATGAGATTTCGGCGGCCATTTGAGTATAAAATCTATTGATCATAGTGTTGTGTATTAACTATTGTTTACGCGCTTATAATGAAACAGGATTTAAAATCCTCCATATACCAATGTATTTGCCTTATCATCGCTGTGCGATGTTGAAATACTAACCTTGCTTTTGCACTGACAAATCAAACATGTTACTAGAAGTACACGGTGTTTGTGCGAAACCTTTCGGTCGGTGGTCGTCGCGCTGCGCATGTGCGACATTTGTGCTGATAAACATGCTAAACGCATTTCTAATGGAACTCACGAGTACGAGTTTTGACCTGGGCGCGACGTGCACTAATTACCACCGGTGACTCCTTCGATACCTTCCAATCACAATCAGTTTTTACTCGTTGGTCCGCGCAAAAGACAAAGTCGCCATCTTTGCCAATATAAGACCAATATCTCGCGCATGTGTGGCGCGACGACCACTGCTCTTTAGAATTGTTATTCCGCGTTCATTACATGCTATGTGAAGCTGTATTTTTGGGCGGTTACTGTGACGTAGCAAGGTACCCATCTGCGTACAGCGATGCGTGTTCGTATCTTCGTAATATTCCTACAATTCATATTATATTAATTTTTCATGTTTTTTTGCATCAATTTACAATACCGAAATGCAATGTAAACAGATCAGAGTTAGATCTGGTTATTAATTTTGCTATGAAATCTGTGTTTGCACTACTTGGAATATGAGTAGTGTTTTTTCCATTTCAATATTTACATAATATTTACATGTTCGTGTTCATTTCATGTAAATCCAATTATTATACAATCTTCGTGTTTTGAAACTATTAGTTTTATTGTACCGTTGTTAGTAGCTTTTTCGTAGTACACTTTGCTTTGAGGGTTGTCTCTACACATTCCGTCGTCACATCCACACGTTGGATTTCGTATTGGATAAAGTGTTCTATTTTTAACCGGAATGATAAATTTATATTTTGCTTATATATATTGTACAATATATACTTCGATATCATTGAAGATGAAAGAGCGGAGCTGTTAACAATTATATTTTCGACTTCTTCTTGAAAACTAGCAGATCAATCACTGTGTATGTAGGTACCTTGGGTAGACCGCTGCCAGTCTTGTTGATTTCGTGATGATATCGTCAATTCTCTATTTTTCCTGAATATTTTGCTATATTCGACTTCTTCTTGTAAACTGATTTGACACTTGGTATTAACTTTGCCATGGTATCAACATGGTATTAAATTATGGTATCATCATGGTATTAAATTTGCCATGGTATCAACCAAATAAACTACCACGGTTGTGATGTGGAAAGAACACCCTGGGAACACTAGTAGTCATAAGGAATACAGTTAATATCTCATCGTACAGAGCATTATCAACTTAGTTTTTGTCACACAAAGACAGCGGAGCTATTTCGACTGTTTTGTTCCTTGTATATATGATATGTTAATACATCGCACGAGTAGGATAGAACAGAACTTACGAACAAAATGAAAGTACGGGAAAATAAGCATAAATTTTGAAAAATGATAAATGAATTATAACGCAATATTATTATCATCAACGCAGTTGACTTCGATCCTACAGTTTTCTTGATTTGTGTAACAGTTGATGACGTCACCATATACCTTTTTATTATTATAATATATCTTTTCAACATTTTTATTACGTGGATTGTGTTTTCAACTGACAAACGTGGCACGATATCGCCAATCACATTTTGTGTGAATTTGAACTTGAACTATATATTTATTGTATATCATTGTTGATGTCATTTGATCGATAAATCCATGTCATTATTGTTATAATTGAAAAGTTGTCACGACAAAAGATGTTTTTTTCAGTGGTTAGGAGCAGAACTCACTATCCATTCACGAAGATATGTATTCTCTGTTCTACGCATATCCTATGAAAACATACGAATTAACAACACTGAAATATAACTGCATTATTCACGATGTATTTGCATTTGGACATTGAAACATCTGTCAGTTCGGTACTAAAGTATTACAGGCTGAGGGCTGTTGTCAATGTCTTACTAATCGGCTACATGCGCCGCCAGTGTTGCAATCGAGCAATGAATATTTGTTTGAAACATACGTAGTATTCGCACTGATGTTACAGACTTTATCTCCACTGTAGAGCTAGTGTGTATTTTTTTAAGCCAATATCATGCTTCTGTGGCAACAGAATAATAACACAGCGTTAACAACGAAGTTCCAAATTGAACACCAAGCGTGGTATCCCGTGTGAATCATCAGAGAGGTTCGAGTTATGCTTTTTAGATTCGCTGTCGACTTTGTCGAGCGGAGCTTATCATATGAGTGATTGTCCGTCGTCGTCCGTCGTCCGTCGTCCGTGTCAATGTTTTACTTATTCGACTTCTTCTTGAAAACTACAAGCCTGAATGCTTTGATACTTGGTGTATATGTACCTTGGGTAGACCTCTCTCAGATTTTTCCATTTCATGATCATATCTTCAATTCTCTAATTTTGGTGCATTTTGTTGTCATTTTTGGTAAAAAGTGATATTTTCAACTTCTTGTTAAAAACCGCAAGTCCAATTGCTTTGATATTACATATGTAGGTACTACATGTGGACCTCTCTCAGATTTGTTCATTTTGTAATGATATCTTTAATTCTCCAATTTTGGTGAATATTTTTGTCATTTTTGGTAAAATGCGATATTTTCAAATTCTTGTTAAAAACCCCAAGTCCAATTGCTTTGATATTACATATATAGGTACTACATGTGAGTCTCTCTCAGATTTGTTCATTTTGTAATGATATCTTCAATTCTCTAATTTTGGTGAATATTTTTGTCATTTTTGGTAAAAAATGATATTTTCGACTTCTCGTTAAAAACCGCAAGTCCAATTGCTTTGATATTACATATATAGATACTACATGTGGTCCACTCTCAAATTTTTTCATGTCATGATGATATCTTTAATTTTCTAATTTTGGTGAATATTTTTGTAATTTTTGGTAAGAAGTGATATTTTCGACTTCTTGTTAAAAACCGCAAGTCCAATTGCTTTGATATTACATATATAGGTACCACATGTGGACCACTCTCAAATGTGTTCATTTCATGATGATATCTTTAATTTTCTAATTTTGGTGAATATTTTTGTCATTTTTGGTAAAAAGTGATATTTTCAACTTCTTTTTAAAAACCGCAAGTCCAATTGCTTTGATATTACATATATAGGTACTACATGTGGACCACTCTCAAATTTGTTCATTTCATGATGATATCTTTAATTTTCTAATTTTGGTGAATATTTTTTGTCATTTTTGGTAAAAAGTGATATTTTCTTCTTGTTAAAAACCACAATCATTTATGGTGAAAAATGATATTTTTGAATTCTTGTTTAAAACAGCAAGTCCCATTGCATTGATACTATGCATATTGTTCATTTTCTAATATATCTTCTGTTCTTTAATTGAAATGTGCATTGCTAACAGCGGAGCTATCTCAGCCGAGAGGCTGCTTGTTTTTAATTTCGATTATAATGCATCTTAAAAAACGTAGTGTGTATAGACTTAGTTGTGTAATCATATCGGTGTATCTACTTCAATAATTAATAATTTTACAGCTCTTTAGCGGAATTACTCTTCTATAGTGGAACACAAACGCGCACGCAATCGTGAAGAGGAAAGAGCAATCGTTCTTTGTCGGTGGTGGCGCTGTTAAATATTTCTTACAACTCTCATTTAATGCGTGTCAAATCGGCAACGAAATTAAAATATACATATAAGGACACAGTGTCCATTTCGTGTGTATATTTATTATGTATAATATTCTATTAATTATTATTATTCTATAAACACACAACTTTTACATTATTATACAGTGAATCTTTCAAAGTAGAATGTATCACTTTTGCCTAACGCCCTTGAATGAAGTAGAAGATTGTAAAATATCAGCTCAATCTGGGACTAAGAAGAAAATCTGTTACTATAGACGTTATCTATTTATCCGTTATACAGATATAACGAGAGATTTGATTGGACAGTGCATGGAAGAATATATAGTGCCAAAGAGGGCGCACACAATACAGTTGGCTGTATAGAATAGTGGTGAGGCGATGGCCGATTAAACCCTGGTCGGCGAAGATGCCTTTTTTTCAGACATAGTCTGTATTGTTAGACGCACGGACATGACATGAGTATATTACGTTCGGAATTATATAGCCACACAGTTGCAGAAAACAGCACGCCTGTATTACATCCGACTATAGCATGTGGTCGATGTAATCATGCGTATACACATGTGCGTGCCACTAAATAAATCAACAGTCCGTTCTCGCTGCAACCATTCTCTGTTATCAACTGCCCGTTCTCGCTGCAATCGTTCTCTGTTCTTACAAAGTGGGTATCAGCCAGTTTAAGTTCTGTGAATACGATGGCAAATGTACCAAAGTTATCAGTTATACTCATGACCATCGGGGTAGGAATATTGCTGCTATACGTATCAACTAACAGGTCGGTGTTGAGGTCGTTTTTAAAACAGAACGGATTCGGCAAACGCAAATTTAATCCATCGCCGTTGCAGGTATGTAGACATGCCCTTTTTTAATATAGATTTATTTCATCGGATGTCAATTACGACTTACGTAGTGGTCACATGGGTTAACAATTTCCACTTGTTTGTACAGCGTCATTGGACGTTGTAACGTATATCGTAGTGATTATAACAAGGTTAACAAGGCAGCAACTATAGCATGGATTTCTGCTGTAAGACAATTTAGCTTGAACTAATTTTCGCTGAAAAGACTCTTTGGCTGTTTGGTATGAAAATTATTTCATTGATTTTTGATGAGTAGAATGCTGGATTTAATTTTCTATTGATACATTCCTTCAAGCAAAAATGAATAACAAAATGACAAAAGGGAATTTGCAGTATTAGCTGAATAGCTCGGCAACTTGTTAAGATCTGAATTATACGATAATTCATGAATGTTTTTCAGATAAAGCCAAAATTTTGAATACATTTACTATGACTGGTTTTGTTTGCCGGATTTGTTGATTAAATCCACTCGTGGTCAGCCATGCTTATTAGATACTTTCGTGGAAGTAATTAAGACTTCATATGTACATTTCATACACTGACATGTCATGTGACTTGAGGGAACTAATAACTTATAATTGTACGTAGAGCATATTGCAAACAGCAGTCGAGTCTTTTTCTTGTTCGTGTGGTATATATCCCCGTTATTATTATGACACAGGAATCGGCCGGCCATCCACCATTCTTGACGGATTGTCGGAAATCGCCTTTATTCTGCTAGCACTTTTTTCTAACTTGATATATTTTGGAAAGCCACTGGCGTAATACCCATTCAATGCATTATAATCAGTGTAAGCATGTACTGCAATTAAACATCCAAAAAACATGTGCTATATCATATATAGAATTTATGTTATTTATATAACATGTTATATATCAACAGTTAACAAAAATAATATGAGTGATTTGTATAGTTTTTAAAATCAAGAAAAAGGCTTTTAATTATGCTGCGAATCATAGTTTGGTGATCTGTTTCTCATGACACCATTGAAATTATATTTGTCTTTAAAATATCCATTACACTTTTGGGCGATTTTAAATCATGGATCTTTTCGTGAAAAACAAGATAAAAACGTACCTTTGCCATGAAAAAACAAGGAAAATGAAAACAAAAATTGCTATGTGTGGAAATTTGATCTACCGAAATATCAAAAAATGTTCTCTCTTGACGCCAGGTCAAGACACACGACTCTAGACTGCCAGTTTGATGGGATTTTCCAGATAACTAGAAACCCAATACCACGATCTAACATACTATGTCGATTTCTAAGATCGCAATTTCACATTTCTCACAATGTACTCAGTATCAGGACTGGAAATGTACTAGGTCTAGTGCAATTGTCGCATACGACCTATGTACCACTTCCGTGTCACTGAGAATGTTCTAGAACCGTACTGTGTCTGGGTGGAGTATTCTAGATTTTGTTTAGAAACTGGTTGAATAGGTAATAGAACACTGTAGGAGGCAATAGAAGGTAATGGAACATTCTAGAAATTGGTAGTAAGTTCCAGACTCATTATGTATGCTGATGTAATGGTCTATTTATAGACAGTGTGGGTATATATAGGGGAGTTGTTCAGCACTGAGATCGGATCGGAGATCTCGTTGAATTGTATTGGAGTTTAAGTATCTAGTTATTGGAGTAGTGGAGTTTTACCGCGTTATTGTACTTGATGTTTGCAGAGTATAATAATACCAGTACCAGTTGAAACCTCATCTGTTGGCTCCGTATTCGTATTTTATCATCACCGCCAGGGAAGTCTTTCTGTTACTGTTGCCATTTTGGTATATTTGAACCATCACGCCTGTACTCTACCAATTACGGTAATATTACGTTGCGTGTGACAGCAATTAATATAGAATTTGAGATCAATGCTCACATTGTTATTCGAGTTAAGATGTATGTACGACACCCCCCCTGCCTGTAAAAATGAAATGCACGGTCCCTTCTAAATGGGAAATGTGACTGATATATTTGACTCTATATTTGAATTTGAACGTTGGACCGAAATTTGAGAGAGACACGATCTCTATTTGTGTATTTGCCAGTATGAACAGAAGCGCAAATACCACCATGTCTGTAGTGTAGTATGCTAAAACCAGACAAAGCACAGTGCAATGCAACAGGACGCTTTTCCATGTAATGTGGATGGTTTTTGTGAGTTCTATCATTTATAACATATTGACTACACAGTATCTCCGATATTTTCTATATCTTGGGTTTATAAAACCATATGGTAAATGATGGTTTGATAAGATAACAATTCTGTATTCAAAGATGTCATCACAACCTTCCCACTACACACTAAAGGCATAACTGGAAAATGTTTTATCTATGTTCCAGGTTCAAACAGAGTCTTGGCAAGTATGTCTGAAATTCAGTCTCCAGTAGCTTGCTTTTTGTTCTTATTTATTCTGTTTTTGAAAGACAACATTGCTACGTGTTTCTGCATATTTAATTGTAAAAGGCCGCCTGTCGGCCTTTTTGAATTGACAGACACAAATATATTCATATGTGTATATGTATGATTAGATGTATGAACTGGATTCGTCCGGCCATCCGATTTGTAAAGCAAAGTTACCTGCAGAAAGACACAATTTGTATTTAAAATATCTTGCATTTGAATAAGAAAAGAATGTAAGTCTATATATATATCCCAAGATCTATGCCATATCTGATCAACCCAGACATTTTCAAGATGCGGCACTAGAAAGGCATACAATAAAACAAAATGTCGCTCAGTTTGAATTCGATGTAAAGAATGACAAATAAATTAATTGAACTAAATAATTCAAATATTATTTGAATAATTCGAAGCCTTGTTTTCGATCCAGGGATGTAATAATTTCAATAAGTCGCTTTATTTCTTGCATTGATATGATAAAGTGTGCACGTGTAATTTACACGTAACTTAGTACATTAAGAACTAAATTAGCTAATTACATAGTATGAAGTAGTAAAATATCCATCTACACAATCATCAAGCATGTACTTAGTTTCAATCCACTTGAGTGTAAGCTTTTAGGATGATACAAAACATAATGAAAAAAATAATTAATGTTTGACTAATACGCATAAAATTATTTGATATTGTCAATTATAGTAAAATTAACGCAGATACTTTACAAAGAAGAACCCAAAGCCAAATATGCAAATTAGACATTGGTCTACACAGAGAACCATGTAATGTTCCAAGCTATTTATGTAAAAGTATGTAATGAAATACGATGTCACGTGTTTAGCTTATTCCCATTCCCACATTGACGCCCCAAAAAAGATCTTCGAAGAATTGTCAATAGGGGTTATTTTTCCTGTTCACACCATTTGGCGGACAAACTAATACGCAAACAAGCCGGTAAAAAGCATGATCATTCGAACACTGTTATTACAAGGCTGGTACGAGTAGATATATTTGGCGTGGCGCTACTCAAAAAAATTTTGGCCGGGGCCAGACATTTTTTCAGCGTTTACCTACTAACTAGTGTGATTGTGTGACTTGCCTGCCAAGTTTGAACCAAATCGGCTCAGTGACATAAAATCACAGAAGAGTTAAAATGCTGTTCCTGGTTAATCCAACTTTGGGGTCTAATTTCTCGGTAATGAAAAAAAATATCAAAAAATATCATATAGTAACTGTGTGCCTACACTCAAGTAGAGTAAGCTATGTGCGAGATACATTTGGCGCGAAGCTATCTAAAAATCATTTATTCGCTGTTGCTATGGCAACGGTGGACCAGAAATGTTTTCAAATTTTACCAGCTAGCTAGAGTGAAGGTTTGACCTGCCTGCTATGTTTTAGCGAAATCGGCCAAGCCAAAAAAATCACAGAAGAATTAATACGTGAAAACACTGGAAATCACACACACACACAAAAGCGACAAAAACATAACACTCTTGGCGGAGGTACAATTTGCCAAAGAAACGTTTTTTGGGGTGACGTCAGCAGTTTTTTATAGTAGCTTATTTGTACCAGCGCAACGGCTGCTTCAGTACGACGCCATCTGTTTCGATGTGGACCTCGCTCACTCTACTAATAACAATATGGCAAAATGCAGGGGCCGGTTTCTGTTCTGTTCTGTGTATGATTGCTAAAAATGAACATGTGTTAATGAAACAGTAGTGCGTGTGATAGTACGAGGTTGCGAAATGAAGATCACAACACATACACGAAGACAGTGACGTGGTCGAATGGGCCGTTGCGAAGCGTGGATCTGTGACTTTGATTTCGACTCTTTTTGTCGTCTAGGTATACTCGGGGCGGGTTCTCCAACCTCGGGGATTATTTCTCGGGGGATCTATGTTCGTTCATTCCAACTACCCACAATTTCATAGATTCAGTCTACGAGCAGAGCGGTGGCCGAAGCTATCCTCAAACCAACGCAAACTTTCACCTTTAGTCAACTACCAGTTAAATATAATATGTTTAACTCTAGAAGACTTCGGCATAAAGTCCGCCCTCTACAGGTCTACTAAGCAAGCAATGACAAAGAAATGTCTCGTACAGATGTTAATATTTAGCCAATCATAGATACTTAATTTGACATTGAGCTAGGTATTGGGGTATAGCCTTACATGTTTAATGTACACACGATATGTAATATCTCCAGGTTTCAAATAAGTCTGCATTAAGAGTAGCACTTCTTAGTGCTGACCCGACCAATTATAATGAGTTCACCTGGGTCAACACTGGCTCGAATCCTTTAGATACCATCTGTATTCTTTGCGGCATCCTTATGATAATATGCAAATTTGTTTACAGGAATCCGTAACAGCTCTGGACCATAATAAAGCTGTATCGGTCAACCACCAAACTACCAAAAACGTAGCTAAACCGAATACCCAACCGCCAAAGCAGAAACCAATTACTACTAAGCAAGTATTTCTGCTCGGGGATTCCCTAGTGAAAAACGTTTCCCCGGTGGACGTTAAAGCAAAAGTGACATCAAGACCCGGTGCTACAACGAAGGTTGTGTGTGATTTCTTAAGTAGTGATAATCCTGGTGCCAATCTGTATGATGAAATTATTCTTGAAGTGGGTACCAATGATATTAGATTGAGGAAATCACCGGATGACATAATCTCCGACTACACGTTGCTTATCAAGGAAGCTAAATACCAGTCAGATGGTCATGTTAGAGTTTCGAGCATTCCACCACGATTGGATATTAATGTTCAACCTGTGATCAAAGAAGTCAATCTAAAATTGGCCGAACTTTGTAAGCGTGAAAACTGTGCTTTTATTGACAATGATGCTACTTTCATTTTCCGAAATGGAAGTACTGACTCGTCTTTGCTTTCTGATGATAAGTTGCATCTAAGTGTTAAAGGAGTTACGCAGTTATTGGACAACGCTCACCTGTTGAAGTTATTTAAAGCAAAAGGACTGAAATAATCGTGACCCCAAAAGCCTTGTATAATAATAATAATAAATATAGGTGCAAGCGGCAATGGTTGGGCTCCAATTTGAGAAAAATGCTCCTTAATATAAATTATAAATTGTTTGTTTGAAATGAATGTACGTTTCGGGTATGTGGTGAACTGATGTTTTGAAAATATAATTTTTCGAATTGATTGATATGGGTGGAGGCATAGTGGATATGGCTACCAACAATGTTCTTTCATACTAAGTATATTGCCTGTTATGTTTTCTCTAAGAATGACGTCTACGCGTGGATGAGGTGTTGATTGTTCGTATGAACATATCCCAAGCATGTACCTCGAATACTAGGGCCCACATTTTTGGAACGTTTTTACTGTGTTTCACACACTCCGTGTGTTTTATTAGGCGTTAACTTGTTAGAGGGTGTCCAAAATACGTTGACATATTCGAGTAAGTGCAAACATTAATCTTATTTAAACAGAGGTCTACTCATGTATTCATGTTCATTGGTTGCAAGTGGACAGAAAAGTAAATGCGCATGATCTGAACTTTGACCCGTATATAAACGTTATAATACAGGATGCTGAATATTAAAAAGAATCAATTTACCTGAAAAATAACAGTTTATGTAACCAAATAGATCCCATTTCGAGAGTAGTAAAAGTTGTGTACCTAACATTACTGGTGTGTTTTTATATACATTTGTCAACAAATATATCATTCATTTTGATAAGTCGATGTGTTCTAGTAATGTGTAAAAATAGACAATATAATGTTCAAATAGAGATGAAAAAGACGTTGAAACTGCATTTATATAATAACACACAGAATGGCAGATATGACTTAAGGTCTCATGCCAATAATCAACCAATGGCTGCTCGTAGCATGGGAAATTACTCGTCTAATGATATTCCATCATATACAAGATCAACAAGAACTTTATTAAACTTTCTTATTTCTCTTAAGGTCCCATACCACTAATCAACCAATGGCTGCTCAATTTAAATGCCTTGCAAGAACCAATGCAATTTTTTCAATATTTTGTTCTCAGTTGTTCCCTGTTTGAGGGCGTGATCACCTGGGTCAAAGGTAAGACCAACATGTGGTCTTTTGTTTACTACTTAGCGGCCGTGTACCTGTAGGTTTATTCTGTGTGTATTTGAATGTTCTAATCTTGGTGTTTTCCAGTAATTTCTCTAGGTGAAATTCAAATACAGTAGGTGTGTCTTGTTTACCAATTAGTGGTATGAGCCCTGTACTTGACTCGCTGAACTGACGGTTCATTGCAATTTCGTTTGCCATTCCATGTAAAACATTGTGCATTGTGTATGGTTTGTGTCAACAATAAGTTTTCGCGTATCTGTTGACTGACTTGGTTAGCTAATTGCTAGTGAATGGCTGTGTTATATCTGTCATCATTTAGGCTCATGCGAGGTCATGGACGGAACTTGACTCAGTGATTTGGAACTAATTACGATATAACCGTCGCCATCTGGACCGCTATTTCTGACAGTTTGGTATTTGCAGTTATTAATATAGCGAACGATTAATCAAAAGATATGACGTGTTCAGTACTTAGTTTGATTGGTTATGTGCAAATTGAATGTGTGAAGGTTACGCCTTATGTCTTCAAACTTCTTTGTAATTGGTTAAGTTTTGATACGTAATAAATAAGTCCTTGGTCCCAGAGAGAGAGAGCTCCACGAGTTGAGAGAGTCTTGGTTAGTCCTGGGCAGAGTCTCCGACGAGGCAGTTGCCTTGGGCAGAGTCTCCGACGAGTCAGTCCTGGGCAGAGTCTCCGACGAGGCAGTTGCCTTGAGGCGTTCTCGATGTGGCTAAAGACTAGCTATTGAAACGTATTACGTTGTGTGCGTCTATTTGACTGTAATGCTTAATTAAGGTAGCGAGACTATTATTTGTGTTGAAAATTACGATTTTCACATTTATTTATTAATTGATGAAATGCACCATAAACTTTCATATGACAAAGTCAATATAACATAGAATGTCATGTAAGTTGGTTAAAATGTAGATTTTCTGAAGGGAAGCAAGGCAGCCTCAGTAGTGTTTTCCAAAATCAACAATACAGGTTTAATCTGTGTGCCTATAAGTTTCAAAGATAAACTCAAGACAAAGCAATGTTAGGATGTGTTATCAGTAGCTATCTGACACACAATGAGTGTTTCCAAACATTTGAGTGGTTTGTCTCCGCCCCTGTTTGTTTCACAGATTAGTCATTTGCATATGAATGTGTCAGACACAAGGTCACACAGCCACTGAAAAAAATCATTGATTTTGGTGTTTTCATATGCCGAATTTATCCAATTATAGCTATCCCATTCCTTTATTTTTTTGGTTTCCAATAGCCTTACACATTTGG